CGTGGGGCAGCCGGCGAGCTCCTCGCCGAGGACGGCCGCTTGCCCACGGCGCTCCGCGGCCTCTGCCCGGCCTCCCACGCGCAGCCTCGGATCGCCCGGCTCCTGTCTGCTCTTCTTCGATCTTCATCCGGTGCCCCGTGGGTGCCTCCTCCTGTCAGCCCGCACTCCAGGGCATTCCCCGGCAGCCCACGTCTCCTTCGAAGCCGCCCTTCGCCCGTGTCCCCGGCGTCCTGTGCCACCCAGGGTGCAAGCTCGTGGGCCTGCTCCTCGGCCTCGGGAGAAACTCGCTCTTTTAATATATTTTTTTCCCCTTAGGATGCCCCACCCTTGCGGACTCGGTAAGGCCGTGGCTCCTTTGCCCTTCTTCCCAAGACCTTTAAAACCTTAGTTTGGAAGAAGGTGCCTGTTAACCCAGGTCCGATCAATCTGACTTGATGGCGGTTTTCTTGCCTTCCAACTTAATATACTCCTTTTTTCCCCCTTCCACATCCAAGGAAAGATTTTTTTTTCAGGCAAAGATGGCAACCACAATTGTAGTTTCTAGAGATTGCATTATCTATAGCTGGCGTTTAATTTACAGCCAGGGCTAGTGGTGTTAAAGCAGTAAGAAGAGGGCAGAACTCTTGTAGAGTGTCGGCGGAACGCCCTTTGGAGTTTTAACATCCTCTAGAGTAAAGAGAGAAACCACATTCTCCTTAGAAGAATTCTTGGCTTTTGTTTCTAGAAGAATAAGCAAGATCTCGTTGTTGGCGCTTTTCTGTGCTGGAAATGTTTTTCGTTCTTGCGCATTTTCCCCCTTTCACGGTGTCGTGTCTTTCAGTCTGCTTTCCTACAATACTCTCTGCCTTTGCGTGTCTCTCTGACCTCTCCTGCAGAACAATAAACTGCAAGTAACATTTCTAGTTGAAGAGATGTCACGAAATGGTGCAGCAAAAACAAGAACAATTTCAGGAAACGTTATACTTGACACTCTCCCCAGAGACGTTAGAGAAGTTTCGTCATTTGAGGCCAAAAAAGGAACTGTGGCGCACCAGTTGGACAGCAGATGGGCTGTATGATTGCTTTAACATTTTTATCTGTATTAAGACATTGTTATGACCTCTCAAAGATGAGCTGACTTAAGACCAAAAATAAAGATTAAAATCCACCACACTTGGGATTGTACTTGGCTTTGGCAAGAGAGCTGGTTAGCTCTTACACGTAACGTATTTGGAAAAAGCAGGCTTGTTTCTAAGAGGAATTGATATTTTTGGTATTTACTCTGTGTCTTCAACAGTGGGGATGTGCTTTTTCTGAGCCTCAGCCACTACCTTAGACTCTAGCACCAGGCTTTCATTCCTTTGTTTTCTGATTAGCATGGAGAACTGGTCCTTTCGGGTTTTAATTACTGTTAAATCTTGACCTTTTGTGTGTATTTCGAAGTATCTGATAATTTTATTTTTGGGGGAAATAGCATTTTGAAAAAGATTTGTTTTTATTGTGTGTGTTGTGTGTCTGTGTGTGGGTGTGTGCACGTGAGCGCAAGTGCCTGTGTTGACCTTTCTGATCCACTGGAGCTGGAATTACAATAGGTGCTCGCGAGTTGCCTGATGTGGGTGCTGGGAATCAGACCAGGGGCCTCTGCAAGCATAGTTCTCGCTCTTAACACCCCCCCCCCCAGCCATTGCTCCACCCCATAGCAGACTCTTTGAAAGACACTTTGCTGTGGTTTTTATTTCTGTATCTTTGTACAAAGTTTATTTCCTGACTGTTCTGGCAGCAGAAGTTAGGTCTTTTCAAAATAATGTAATTTAAACATAGCATTTTAACTAAATGATCAAATGTGTTCATTAGCTCGGCAAATATTTTTATCTAAGATTAGATTTCCATATCTTACTACAGGGGGGGTTATTATTGCTGAAGAAGAGATTATTTAAATTGTAATCAGAGCTATACTTTAAAAACATGCCACACTGCACATGTAATGTGGGATTTGATCACTTGATAGCAATGAAATAATTTTTATTTACTATAAAATCAACTTAAGGCAGTCTTTCAGTTTCTTACTAGAGGATATGAAATTTAAAGCTGGGATGTTATAATTGCTTTTATTTTTATTTATTTATTTTTTATTTTGGTTTGGCTTTCCTGAAACTCGCTCTGTAGATCGGGCTGGCCTTGAACTCACAGAGATCCGCCTGCCCCTGCCCCACAAGTGCTGGGATTAAAGGTATCTGCACCACTGCCCAGCTTGCTTTTATGTGTTTTATCTTTATTTTTGCTATGTAGCCTAGGCTGACATCAGGTTGGAGCTCTTCCTGTCTGGGTCTCCTGAGTGCTAGGACTACAGGCATGTTCCCTCTGCCTGACATGGCTGTCCAGTGTTCTGTCAGTGCTTCTCCGCTTTGTTCCTCCACACGGGTTGTTTTTGACAGTACACTAAGGTAGATGGTGTTAGAGTGTGTAGCACCCCGCCAGGGAGCTGCGCTTCACTGTGGTGCCATGTCCTGTGGGAAGCTGCTGTTGCTAGCGTTGGTCAGTACACAGCTCGGTGTCCTTCACACCTCGGTGCAGTCTTCTCATTGTGCTTCCCCTCCTAGTTCTTTTAAAAATAAAGTCAGCAGTCACCAAGGGAGATTGCAAGATAATATTTAAGAACTCTTTCTTTTCAAAAAAAAATTTTTTTAGATGTATTAATTTTTATGCATATGGGTGTTTTGCCTAACATGTATATATGTGTACCTGGTGCCTGAAGAAGCCAAAAGAGGGCATTAGATCCTCTGGAATTGGAGTTACAATTGTGAGCCATAATGTGGATGCTGGGACTAGGTCCCAGGTCGTCTGGAAGAGCAACAGGTGCTCAACTGTGGAGCCTCTCCAGGCCTACAAACTCATGGTTTTTTTTTTTTTTTTTTGTTTTTACAGGGTTTCTCTGTGTAACAGCTTTGACTGTATTGAAGCTCACTCTGTAGACCATGCTGTCCTCTAACTCACAGAAATCCACCTGCCTCTGCCTCCGCCTCCCAAATGCTGGGATTAAAGGTGTATATCACCACTGCCTGGTGAAATACTTAGACTTTCAGACATGTTTTACAAATTTAGTATTTAGCTATTTTGTTCAGATTCGTTTTAAACT